TTATTTAGCGGCCGCCAGATAATTAAGTGGCGGCCGTCAGATAAATTATTTAGCGGCCGCCAGATAATTAAGTGGCGGCCGTCAGATAAATTATTTAGCGGCCGCCAGATAATTAAGTGGCGGCCGTCAGATAAATTATGTGACGGCCGCCAGAAAAATCAAAACTCTTTCAAAAAAATATATCGACCATGGTACCAACGGGCTTCCGTTTAGAACCGATGAGTGTCAGTCCCAGCCTATCGCCACAACGTATCGTGAATTATCAAGTGCGTCTTCACGAGCCAATTGCGAAGCAGGATCGGACGCTACACGCACGTATATGGCAGGCGAGGTGGGACACAAATGGTATTTAGTGACAGTCACAAATTCGAATGAATGTCTATCATATATTCTATTTAGTGACTATCATATATTCCATTTAGTGACAGTCATTAAATCAACCAATCAGATACAACTTGTTTTTTTCTCAGCCAATCATAGGCATGGAATTATTAACAAACACTAAATGATTTATTTAATGATAGCCACTAAATGATTTAATGACTGTCACTAAATCATTTATTGACAAACACTAAATCATTTAGTGTCTAACACTAAATCATTTAGTGTCTAACACTAAATCATTTATTGACAAACACTAAATCATTTAGTGTCTAACACTAAATCATTTAGTGTATAACATTTTTGTTTGTCATTAAATACCCGTTGCTAGACAATAATGATAGACAATCATGATAGACAATATAAATTATGATAGACATTATTTGTTCTCAGCCAATCATAGGCATGGAATTATTGACAAACACTGAATGATTTCATGATAGACACTAAATAATTTAGTGACAGTCACTAAATACCATTTGTGTCCCACCTCGCCTGCCATACACGTAACTACGGAGTGATTAGATCGCGTTAGTTAATTAATGACGTGTCGGTTAAGTTTATATCGCGTTCGTCGCGAGACGTATAGTCACATAACATATGAAAGTAGAGCGGCTTCTTTACACTTCTTGTACAGTTTCTTGGCAATGATGTAGTTCTTCCGAACACAATCGAAGTATGGATTAATATACCACATTTGTTTTCACATATCGATATCACACATAGGTTTTCTACTGGTTTTTCCTTATAGGAGAAAGAGAGAGGAGGAGAAAAGAAAGGACGGAGAGAGAGGAGCGGAAGGAAGAGAGAGAGAAGGAGAGAGAGCGAGACAGACAGACAGACAGACAGACAGACAGACAGACAGAGAGAGAGAGAGAGAGAGAGAGAGAGAGAGA